CTAGCCTTCTCGGACAAGGGCGAAAAATCTCGGAGGGCCCGTGTGCAAGTTGCGCACGTTAAAGATCCCTTGGTGGTCTAAAATCGATAAGAGTAGGTTTCGGCCGCCACCCGGGCAAAATTCAAAATTTCCTACCAACTGAAAATATTAGGTGTGTCCTGCGCGCTCATATGACCTATGCAGTTGCGAGCGCCGTAAAACACTTTACAAAAACAAAAACAAACTTGATATAGATGTAGTATCTTTGACCATCCTAAAGTGACGTACCCGCAGGACCGGCATGTGGCGACTTTCCTCACAGTAGAAGATGGCGCTGTGTCCTCGGGCATCCTGACGATCTACGTCAGCCCCTGCCTGGACCAGCAGACGGACGGCGGTCAAGTCTACATCCCGGACTGCGTGCATGAGGGGCGTCAGACCCTCCCAGTCATAGGCGTTGACGTTGTTGAAACCAGGGGCCAGGATGGACATCACAGGTTGTTGTAGCTCGCTCGACTGGTCGGACGTAGCTGGGGAAGAGAGGGCGCGAAACGTACGGTGAGAGGTAGGGTGGTTGGGGGAGAGAGTGTCTTGGAAAAAAAAAGGAATGAGGGGGGGGGGGAGAGATAAATGGTCGCTTTTAAACTCTAGGGGCTATCCCGAAAAAATGCAGTTTTGAGAAAATCGAAGGTAAAGTTTTTGCCCCTTGTTCAGTTTCTTTAAAAGACAAGGAGAGTTTTCTTTGTACCAAGAAAAAACAAACAAAAAAACAAATATACCCACCAGTGAAACCAAACTTCTATAGGTAGGGCAATGCCCACTTTTGATGCAGGTCAAGATTTTGAACACCATTTGGTTACTTACGAGGCGGGACCTCCGAGTTTAAAGTTCATCTCCGAAAGGACCGGGCCAAGTGGGAAATTCGTGTAAAGTGTCTTTACCAAGGACGACAACGTCGAATCGAACTAAGGCTGGATCCCTCGTACCCACAATCTCACGATTAATGAGCCCAGTAGCCTAACCACTGGACTACCGACGCCTCTGGGGTATTGCTTGTTTGTTTTGGTGAGTGTTTTACGGCGCTCGCAACAGCATAAGGTCATCATAATGAGTGCGCGGGACACATTAAACATTTTCAGTTGTTGGGAAATTTTGAATTTTGCCCTGGTAGCAGCCGAAGCCTATTGTCGATTTTAGGCCACCCCGGATCTATAACGTGCGCAACTTGCACACGTTCTTACCAGAAGATCAGGTGTGTGGCTGAAAAACAGTAGTAAGAAGGAGCCAAGGCGTAGCAGTAGAAAAGCTGCAGAAAGAGTCAGAAGCCCAAAGGAGGGGACAGAGGAGGTGAGGGGGTGGGCGCAGAAAGTTGAGACGCAAGCAGACGACAGAACATTGCAAGAGGGCAGGAAAGGAGGTGAAGGGCGACAATTTCAGAGAAGAAACTTTTTTCCGTCGCAACTCGGATTCGAACCCGGGACCTTTGAATGAGAGGCGAACACCTTAAGCTCTAGACCACAAACGCCCCTGAGAGATTGTGAAGAGCTGTAAAAAAAGATACTTGAAAAGAGTGAGAGATTCTGAACAATGGCTAAAACAGAGAGGTAAGCATTTGAGGGATTGTTGATGGCTGGAACAGAGAGGTGTACTAGACAATACTGAGGATATTATGGACAGGTGTTTGTTTTAGTGTAAGTTATTTTTCCTATCAAACATATATTGTCTTTATCTCCATTCCTTCTTTTTTGTGTGTTTGTTACTGTTTTGTAACCCTCTAATCTTCGGTACTTATATGACCTCATTGTGCTGCAAGTGCCGTAAAACTCTTACTAAAACTAAAGGAAAAAACCTAAGTGCTGTGGAGGCTATACTCAGATCAGTTATTTGGACACTCGTGCATTACAAAGATCGACACATACACACATACACACGCACGCACGCAAGCACGCACACACACACACACACACACACAC